TAATTTTAACTCCTATATTTTAAAAATTATTAATTTTATTTTTTAATTATTATTAAACGATGGCCTAACTAATTTAAATATTCTCACATGTATATTTTTAGCATGTGTTACTTTTCCTTAATTATATGTGCAAAATTAAGAGTGTGTTTTTAAAAAATAAAGTTATACGTCGAATATTTCTACATGCAATTACAGAAGCACAGATGTTAAGATATTTGAAATATTATACTAAACATGAGAATCTTAAAAGTTTTATGCATAGTTTTACTGTTCTTGAGTTGGATTGCATATGACGTCCTTTTATTTATGTAGTTTAGGGACGGGTGTCTTATTTGTTTGCTGTTTGCCAAATCCATGAATATTCGAATAAGCTTTTGTATGTGTAGTAGGAAGCAGCAGTATGTGGGAGCATCATTTCCAAGTTATATGGGATGGTGTAATCCTCAGATTTTATTATTATTTTGTACATAATGACTGAGAGCTTTATGCTTCATATGCTGGGGAGCAAATGATGCTAGCAGTATCTGATGCATCGATCCAGTATATATATATAGAGAGAGAGAGAGGGAGAGGGAGGGGGAGATTAGGCCAGCGTTTTTATCTCTTTTAATTTTAGAAATATTTAAAAAAAATTGTGAAAAAAAAAGAAAAATATATAAATCTTCAAAGTTGATGAGAGGTATTAAACAAAATTAATTTTTTATATGAGAGTAAAAAAATAAATATACCTTAAATGTTATAAATAATTAAGATTAAATAAAAGTTGTGTGTTTGTGTATATATATATATATATTTTTATTTTTATTTTTTAAATTTGTATACTTTAAAATAATCTTTAATTTTAACTATTTATGGGGTCCAAATTTATTTCAGTCATCACCATATTAAAATTTTAAAAGAAAGTTTCATATATAGACATCTCCTTTACTGTAAACCTACGGAGAGAGATAAGAAGAAGAAAAAAGTAATAGATAAAATAGATGACCTAAGGAGATGATGAATGTTAAATGACTATTGATTTCTTTGTGATATTTGTTAATCAAAATTATTAAAATAATTTTATCAGCTAATGTGTGTGCCATAGATATATAAAAGTACACCAGCAGCTAACTTGATCGCCGTGATCCACCTATCCATTCTGCATAGTCTTTGTGTCCCTCTGAAAGATTCAAACGTTAATATTCTTGCTTGTAATTTAAACATATGTCCTTTTCACTCTCTACCCTCCTAGCACCTAATGCTGATAATGACTAAATTAAAAATAATGATTTTGGAGTGGTGAAACAGATCTGCACAGTGAATTAAAATGAAATTAGTTGCAAATAAAAAATCAGTATAAAGCTTTGGTATATATGAAGTAATGTAGCTTCTTAATTAACTGCAAGAAGAATTTCAAAGATTTGATACCCATTTGGAAAGATTTTCGAAAGGTGAGGTGGGGCATATTAAAAATTCAGTACGTGCAGGATGGCCCCCAAACCCATGAGTAGCCTATAGAATATAGATGCATACGTATATATAATGAATTTCACACACTTGACATAGATTTAATTCCTACCTTTCATTTTACTTTTTTTCTTTTTCTCTCTCAAGTATCGAGGGTTCCCTTCCCCTAACTCATTGTCTATGTTCACAAAATGTTTTTAGCTTTGTGGAAGAAACGTCATATTAATGAATTATATTAAGACAAAGGAGGCAGGGGTTACCAAAGAAACCAACAACCAACCATCAAATCCATGTTTATAAAAGTACGTACTATAGCACAATAAACAACTTCCCCTCCATGGGAAGATTCAGATCAGTCACCAAACTCTTGCAGTTGGGAAACAACTCATTGAAGCACTAACAAGTAGTAACAACCGGTTGGCCCCTCCCACAGCTCCTCATGTCTTCTATGAATGGAGCAACATTTCTTTGCTTCCCCACTATCATTTCAAAATTTTGTGTATCATTTCATCAAACTTAAATTTTGCCAGCATGGCATGTGCCTTTGCCCATACTTCTAATATTCTTTCGAGGAAAAGAAATCTTATTTTCATCCAAATAGAGGTACATCACTCGCTACCCCTCTTAATTTGAATCTAGATATATATTATAAACTACCACCGAATCCAATTTATATAATATGCTTCGTGGTCATATGGGGCCAACCTTGTTGAAGTCACAACAACAATTTGGTTCAATTCATTTGAATTCTAGTGTGAATGAAAGAAATTAAGGTATAATATGGTGATTACGTTTACCCATTTTGCAACACAAATATAATTGAAGTGGGGTGCATGCAAATATGAGCTCTTCGAAATGGTTGCATTGCGTGAGTGCATGGGGGAATTTATGATTGCTGTTGTGTCCGTGTATTTGGCAAGTTGTATCATACAAGGAGGGGTCGGTGGTACATTTTTGCATGTGGCCTTTTATAATGGCCGTTCTGTGCAAGAGACATATAGCCTTGCCCACAATGTAGCTAGCTACCTAGGGACAAATTTGTGCAGTGGTCGTTGGGGCCATCCTTTTCCCTTTTCAAAAAGTTGATTAATTTATCAAGTTTCCCAGCAAGCAAATAGCCAAATGTACTAAATAAACAGTACTGGCAAATAATAAACAATAATATATGCAGTACAATCATCAAGAAAACACTCAAAAAGGAATAATATATGAACCATAATTAAACTGATGATCTCCGAATTTAAGTGGAAAGTAAAGTATCAATCTCGTGCAGCATCCAGTAAATCTGTACTTTGCCAGCCATTTATAGGGGAGCCTTACCTCACCCTCTCTCTCCCTTCTTTGATTCTTTGCTTGGTATGCATTTTTAGGATGAAAAGAAAAGGGAAAACAAAAACGGGATGACAGCAAATTAGCAAAGGAAAAGATATTATTTCGTGCGATGAAATCTTCAAGCTCATGCTATCTTAACTATTCTCCTCCTTTTATAAGGAAATGAAAATATAATTGACTTTTGTGAATTTTTTATAGCGTGTTTATAACATTAGAATAGGAATGAATCTATATTTATTCAATATTATTAGTTGTAACTTTTTGGTTAAATTTATGTTTATAGGTTAAAAAGTATTTTCAAACACAGACTTGTATATTTACATGCATTTTCATTATATATATATATATGAAACCAATCAAGAAAGGAAAAAAGTCTCCTTTTCTGATATCAAACAAGATGATAAATATACCATTCTTCTACTCCTCCCCTTCCTATCTTTTACTTTCTTTACTGTCTTATCCTTTCTTTCCTTTCCCTTCAAACATAGAAGACAAAGCTTGAGTTGAGAGTAGAAAGAGACCAAGAGTCACGCGTTACTTCTGTTCCCCTCCTTTCAGCCTCGGCAATAGTTTTTCTCATTACCATAATAATAAACGATAAACAAAGTCAATGACTTCTTCTACATCAGCTCACATCAGTTCGGCATATTATTAGATGAAAGAAAAATCTATGTGAATAATTTGGAGAAACTTATGGGTACATGGAACCAAAAATTTTGAACCCAAATATGATTTCGAACAATCATTAAAAGGAAAAAGAAAAAAAGGAGCCCCAGGGCTGAAGATCAGATATGATAGCCAGTGGGGTAAGGGGAGACAGGCTTCAAATGATGCATAATGTCTTCATGTCATGAAACGCTTCCACCGTTTTTGATTTCCACATGGTGTCAGTAACCTTTCTCCCCTGAATCCCTCTGCCCAGATCTTCAGTTTGTAGCAGTGTGATAAAATTGGATAGATGGCAAATATAGAAAGACATGTAAAGACCAGCAGTCTCTGCATCCAATATCCAATTTGGATGAGTGGTCCTCTCTTAGCTTTTTGAAACGAGGTACACGAGATCTCCAGAGTAGGGGTCATGCATGAACATGAGTCCAAAAATCGTTTTAATGTTTCAACAGCCAAATGCTCACAACATCCCAAAATAAATCGTACGATGCAGGCAATAGCCTCACATGACCTTCTCACAGCAAGCTGACTGACTAGACTGCCCATGAGCTGTGTTCATCATTGCCCATCATCATTCATCATGCATGCATGTAGCAGGTTTCACAGCTTATCGTTGTAGTAACAACTTTAAACGTGGTCATCCTCAGTGACTGGTCCAACACTATATTTGAGAAGCTTAATTGTGCATGGTCTAAAGTTAACACAGAGACCCAAATAGGTGCTGTACGAATGAATGCGACAGCCACCACACTATGACTATTCATGCCAAGCCTAAGGCCGTGTCAACTCTATATTTGGTTACATACGGGGCTTCACCCTGTTCGACAATGCCCGTTTTCTAAGAACTGGGGTTTCAGGGTTGCTTCCTTGATGCAACCTCGATTCTCGAAGACACCGACGCTGACAAAGATGTACACACCCTAGCATTGCTCGCTGCTCAATCATAAAATTCAATACACAATGTTTGACCAGCGACGATCACCCATAGGCTCATAAACTCATTAAAAACAAACAGTAATCAGAATCTGAAAAGTGTATTAATAAAAACACCGACTGTCAGAATTTCAAAGCATAGGTGTAATTAAATAAAAACGGGTGTTAAATCAGTAACTGTAAATTCATCAGCCTATTCAATTTATATTTTCCTATTCTTATTGATTTTATCAAGACGGGTTAAAGTGTATACACGTATATATAGTTAAATGACAATGCGTTGATTTTACGTAGTTAACTTGACCGTATTTGTTATTTATATTTTAAGCGAAAATAGCATTATTATTATCCCGCGTACGCACACAAGAAACAGTTGTAAAAATTGAATTTCTTCAGAGCGCCAGTTATTAAGAAAACGATCAAGCAAGGAAAATATCAAAAGCAGGGAGGCAGGTGTCCCACGAAATTTAAATTTCCAGTCACTCCAATCCTGAGGAAAGAGAAAACAAAAATATTTGAATTGAATTGAATTAATTTCTAAAAGACATTTTTTCCTCTTTATTTTCTCTTCTCAATCAAACAAAAGAAAATGCATTATTTGCCTCATATTTTTCTTTTCTATTTTCTTTCTTATCATCACGACAAATCATGAGCAGTAAGTATTCACTTGGCAAAATAACAGACATGCAGTGCTCCAGGTACATTGTAGGTCCCTCAAGTTCAAGTGGATACCACCAATAACCTGTTTGAGCAGTACCCAAGTTGATAATGATTTCTCTTCTTAATCCATGGTTATCAACGCAGAACTTTAATGTGAATGAAATAATTTGTCAGCAAATGAACGAAGAAACAGACATGAAAAGAGAGAGAAATTGTCAATGTTCCGCGGACTAATATGAAAGAGGATGAATGCCCCTCTAAATTGAGGTGCTTAAAATTCACTTGGATTTAATAGTAATCAGCCCCACCTGTCAAGTCAATTAAACCAAAAGCGACCTGATACACTCGACTTTTGGTGTGCTCCACATAACCACATCCTAACTATGGCAATGAAGCTGCCAGCACAACATAACAACCACCGTCTGCGCTGATTTGGTAAGTTTATGAACTTTTTTCCAAAATTGAAAGGAAAGCAAAGAGCAATCAATCAGTCAATCAAAAACATCTTATCACATAAAGTAACGCACGCGGTAAGAAGGCACATGCAAAAGAAGCAACTGACCTAACAACTTTTTATCCATCAATTGATGATAGTCTAAATTTCAGTTTACGGTCGGCAACAGACACATCAGACAAAATACGGTTCCTTTTAACCAAATCCTAAAAGAAAAACCTTCTTTTGCTCAAACATAACAGATTACGGAATGCCCATTAGCATATGCTTACTTGTAATTATCATAATGTAATGTTTTCCTGATGAATACTACCAGAATTCAGACACTAATGTTCAAACCACCTGAAAGAACAAAGTAGGTATCGGAGATAGGCTGACTATACTTAAACCAACTCCAGATTCTTGCAGCAATTGTCAGAAATGACAACGCATTTCAGATTTTCAAGTCTGCGGGCGAATACAGAACAAATTGTCTTTCACTAGTACCTCTGCAAAAATTAGAAACATCTGACAGCAGTAGCAAATTTGCACACCGCATAAAGAACTCAATGTAAATCATACATGCTATAGTTTTGAATAGAACCATAAGACAAAAAGCTGCAAATAAATGATATCCAGATCTGCTGTACCATGGATGCTATATCACATGTCTACATTTATTATTTATATGTGTAGGGGGGAGTAAGAGAGAGAGACAGATAGTTAAATGCGAGGAATAAATTACTGACAGCATTGCAGCTGCAACGCAATTTTAACAATTGAACAAGGGTTGAGACCAAGCAGTATTTGCAAGATGTAGTCGTAAAGGTCTCCAAAATTGTCTGTTACTGTGAGGATCAAGATGCCAATGAGGATCTAAAGATTCCATCCTCTCGGGTAGCATCAGTACAATGCACTCCATGAAAACCTAAAGAGTTAGAAGGAAAAAAGCGGACAGCCATCAGATTCTGCATCATTGTCCATCATCTAATGGATATTCAGTATGTATGTTACATCGAGTCAAATGCTTCCAAAGTTGAAATTAGTCATATCTTTTTAAGTGCGTACATTTTAGTATCAACAGGAGAGATAGAGTAAATGGTTGCAAGAAAGGACAAACTCTCACAGTGAAAAGTGGAAGAAAAGGTAAAGGTAACCTTCATAGTGGTCAATGTTAAACCTGTTTCACAGGCCGCTATTCTAGCAAGATAATCAACAAAAACAAATCTAAAGGAAACTTCTAGCATTTTGAGAATTTAGTCAACTAGCTTCCCCAAGAACCTCATGCTTAAACGAACAGGAACTTTCCCAACCATTACCCCAAAATCATATATGCTAGACTGAAATGTTGTGATCATGAATAATGTCTATCTTCAATTAAAAATAAATTTTATCAAAATTCTTCTTATGTTATTTTCACTCTTTGAGAAAGATGAATGCTTGGTCATTTAGTAATCCATTAGCATGCATTATAACGTTTCATCTGAATTCACACCATCACTTAATGTTTCGGACTCCACCCCAAGATACTCTACGATTCTCTCTTATCTTTGCAGCCTCGTAACTGGAGCAAGGGCCACACTGTACTTGATAAAGACAATAATAGTAATACAGTACTTTTCCCTGCGTCATTTGTTTTCCTTTCATTTTTCTTTGGCTAAGTCATTTCCGTTAACGAGGAGTTCAAAAAAGTCCTAGACCCTCAATATCTGGAATTCACACTGAACCTCAACTAATCAGAGTCAAGTGGACCCACTTCAGGATGCAAAATTCTCCCAATATTTATTTCTCCATTAACAATACTCAAACCAGAGAGTCAGAGACCTTTGTTAAGGGAACTCGAGTTTCTTACCATTTAAATCAAAAGGCATTTGTAAGAGTCTCTACAAGGATTACCACAGTCCAGAGTCTAGATCATAAAGCGTGAAAAAAATTTAATAAGAACAAGAGATAAATAAAAGCAAAACTGGATTAATATGCAAGGAAAGATTCTTAAAGATAAACCTTTTATTTTTTGGTTGAAACAAGGTACGAAAAGTTTATCAACAGATTAATCAGTAATGGCATCCCTGTAATGAATTATTTGTTTATTGCATACAAAATTAAAAAACTGTGCATTCATAGTTTCTCCATTCCATTTTTTTGGACACCCTACTGACAAGTTTTTCGATAATCAAATTTCATGAGAGAATTTCTCAACTCCAGCCATACTTAATATGGCTTGGTAGCGAATCACTTTAGCAAAGTATTTCTTGTGTTATCCGAATCGGTCCTTAGCAGGGAAGGGTGGGCGGAGGGGAGGGCACACTGACTTTGGTTGTATCAGCAGTGGCACTTGAACTAAATTCTCGAGGAGGGCAGAATAAATGTTAAAAACTAGTGAAAACTATTGGCTGATTTTGACAAAATTAAATTTGAGGGACCATGAATAAATAAAAATTATGTTGAGGAATATGAAAATCCTAAAAAAAAATTCCCAAACTCGTTAACAAAATCATTATGACACTCTCCAGGGAATATACTTTCGCTTCAAACAAGAAAAGGTCTAAAACAGTTTAATTTCAATCAGCTCAAAGTTAAAATGCGGGTTTGGTTCAGCTTATTTGAAGAAATGGCTACTTATTTTTGTCAGTTTCATGAGAGAGCTTCTGAAAAAATAAGCAAATATTTCACACAACCTAAGCTATTCCAAACAAGCACCAAGTAGCAGGACGCTCAACCTATGCACCCAATTTTTAACTTCCCTTCAACATATACATGATTCAATCATTCTATTTCATCTCCAGTAATGGCATTTCCTTCATCTGCCGCTTTCAGTTTTACCATGTCATTGCAGTGTGTCTTTTAATCATTCACCTTTTGAATTTGGGCGATTTACTCTCATATAAACTAATTTTATAAAAGATTTCTATAACTTGAGAAAAACCATAGCTTCCCCTGCGCCATTGGCAGAAGTCATACTAAAGCACTCACTCTCTCAATGTGTCCCCTGCTTGCAAATTCTTTCAGAACTACATTAAAAGACTAACTCCTCTCCATAATTTAATTACAGGTTTCAAACACACGCACTTAACATTATCATCTAGTTCATCTCGTTAGACTGTAATAAAAAAATTAATCATCAGCTAGTACAGTGACGTTGAATAGCAACACAAACTGAATATTAACATATCACGGTGCGTATTTTGAACATCACATGATACCACTATCCAACCCCAACAATGCCAATTCTCTTACCTCAAACAAACACTTGGAATTGGAGAAAGCGTAAGGTGAAGAGAGCTTCGAGGACACCGAAGCACGATCCAAAGAAGACATCGAGAACGTAATGCCGCCCGAGAGCAACCCTAGAAATTACGGTGGTTATGGCCCAAGACCAAACAACCGCGATGAGGACGTCAACGGCCAAAACTTCATTTCCCGCGATCCAGCGATGGATGACACGTGGACGGTCGAGATCGGCGAGGATCCAAGGGCGGGAAAGGGAAACGATAGAGGCAACAAAGCAAACCCTAGAGGAGTGACCGCTAGGGAAGGAGAATTTATCGACGGGAACTACGGCGTTGTATTCGGCGTGAGAGGAGTAGGAAGGGCGAGATCGGCGAACGAGGAATTTTATTAGACCAATGAAGACGAGATCAAGGAGAGAGCAAAGGAGGAGGGAGAGAAGGAGGTGGAAGCGAAGGGGAGAGGAAGAGGGTGTGGCGAAGAAGAGTGAGAGAGTGACGGGGAAGAAGAAGCGGAAGTCGGCGAAGAGTTCTAGGAGGCGGAGGAGGGTTCTTGGAGCGATGGGGCTTGTGAGGGTGTGGATGTAGAGGGAGATTGTGTTGTCGATACTGTGGATACGGCGGAGTAACGGTGGCGCTGCGGTGGTGGATTTGGGCTGTTGATGGCCCATCGCAGTTACTGACGAGCCTATCGAGAAAGAGGGTAGGATGGCATGGATGGTTGAAACGGACCAAAACGGTTAGGGATTCAAACGACACCGTCTCTCTAACGTCTGTACTTTTTGTGAGATCACCCTTGGTATTTTTAAAAATAAATAAATTCTTAATTTTTTTTATAATTTATTTTTTATCATATTAATTGTTTAGTAGATTTTACCTTTCATAATTTAGGAAAGTTTGATATTTTTTTTGCGCGTAAATTTTTTACTAATTAAAATTAGTGATTTAATTAAAAAATATTAATATTTCTGATCTTTAAAATATAAAATAAATAATAATCATTGTATATAATATTCTCACATCGTGACAAGCATCTAATTATTATTTTATGTTAAAATTTTCTATTTTATATTCTTATTTCTTTTTTTATATTTTAAAAATTACTCAAAAAGCTTTAGTAAAAATATTACTAAAAAAGAAAGTCAATCAACTTCAAGAAATTTAATTGCAAGTTGATTTTTTTTATTATTGTATGTATTTTAATATAAAAATGGTGAATAAAATTATTTTAAATATATATTTTTATTTAAAATTAATTTTATCTAATTTAAAATATAAATTTTAAGTCTAATTAAGTATTATTGTTAAAGAATAATTTTTTTAATTATTATTTTAAATAATCTTTTCACGTGAAAAAATAGAAAGTTTTTTGTATGACTCAAAGAAAAAAAAAAGTTAAATAAAAAAAGTAACCTATGAAAGTTCAACTAAACTACTATATATAATATTTATTAGTATTATAGAAGAACAACTCATTATACGTAGGTTAATTTATACAATAATTTTTTTTCATGATTATTAAGACTCTAATTTTTTAGAATGATTTGTACACTTGATTTGAAGTTGGCCTATATGTAATAGAATATTTTCAATTATAAAGCACTATTATTCTGTTTGAGATAAGAAAAATTTTCTAAGTTAAAAATCATCTTGAAGGAAACTATATTTCAACAAGTTTTGAGGGTCAAGAAGGAACCAAAGATAAACCTGAACATAAGATAATATTGGAAGATCTTTGGTTTTAATTAAAAGGAACACATTTCGAGCTATTTTAGAAGATTTTTGTCACATTGTTGATTTTTCTCTAAACTGCTTGAAAGACAAGAAAATATTCTAAGACCACAAAACTAAAGGTTTTTTCGAGAAGTTTTGAGGAGTTTTTAAGTCACTGACATCCAAAACTACTCGAAAAATAAAACTGGCAAAGAAAATATTTCAAGTCCACAAAACTGATGGTTTTTCGAGGAGTTTTGAGGAGTTTTCAAGTTCCTGACACCCAAAACTGCTCGAAAAGCAGAAAGTGGTAAGAAAATATTCTAAGTCCACAAACTTGGCTGAGTTCCAGATTTCCTCCAGAATTGCTCGAAAAATAAGAAGTGGTCAGAAAATATTCTAAGTCCACAAATCTGGTCGAGCTCCAGAGTCCCTCCAGAATTGCTCGAAAAACAGAAATGAGCAAAGAAAATGTTCTAAGTCCACAAGACCAAGACAGACTCTTAAAACTTCAGAATGGCTCGAAAAGAGAAGTCAAGAAGAAATTATTCTAAGGCCATAACATTAAAGGAGTCTCCTAGGTTTCTCTCAAAATTACTCGAAAGATAGGAGTCTTGAAAAATCCAAAAGCGGTTACCAGCAGTTATCATTATTCACCATTACGCAAAGAAGATCATGGGCAATAGCGGTTACGAAAGAAGCTCCAACGAATAGCACGATCACAAGCAATCGTGGATAGTGAGCATCAACAGTTGAAGGCAGTTACTAAGAAGTGCCCGCAAAAGGAGGAAAACGGTGGTAATCATCATGTCTATAAATACTCCAAAGCACCATTTCACGAGGGACAACTTTTTGCACCCAGACACCGCACCTAAACTCTCTAATACGCTGAAACCCTGCACCGCGCCAGACACCAGTTACAAGGAGACCCACGGTGGCCGTTGTTCGGCGTTGTGAAGAGTCGTATGTTTATATTTCAGCGTATTTACATTCCAGCACCTTTACATTCCCGCATTTACCTTTCTGCACTTTAATTTCAGTGCTTGTTGCTTGTATCTTTGTACACTGTTGGCTTCCTTTTACTACATTTTTGTAAAAGCATCGACGTTTAGTTCAATTCTGCCCATTTATTATTCACTATTCTTGCTAAATTGCTGAATTTACGCGTCCATTTCACCGTTACGTTAACAATACACTTAAAAGAACCCAAAGAGGACCTAAATCCAGTCCCCAGATTGATCTTTGGATTATTTGTTTACAACTGTCATTTTTCACCGTAAACATATTCATAAGTAAATAATAACTTTATTTACAAAAATGACATATGACACCTTAAATTAGGTTGAATTTCTCATGAAAAATTGTTTATTGTGAAAAGAAACAATATCCCTTCATTGATTGTAATAAAACTATAGAACTTTATAAGCAAAAAAAAATGTCTTTTGCTTATAGTTGTTACAATTATTTAGACATTTTTTAGCTTATTCATCTTGATATTTGGGGTCTAATTGATATATTTTAATGTATAATTACTGATATTTTTTAGTCACTCATGAACACACACTAAGATTTATATGGATTTATCTAATGAAATTGAAATATGATATAGGAAGTATAGTTAAAGCTTTTTTTTATCTTTAGTTGAAACACAATTCAATGAGAAAATTAAATTTATAAGAATCCACAACTGACATAAATTCAATCTAGTAGATTTATGTCACCAAAGGCATTGTGTATTAGAGAAGTTGTGTGAAAACACTAGAACAAAATAGCTTGTTTGAGAGAAAATATTAACGTACTTTAAGATTAACTCCATCATTTTTCTTTTAATCTACACCTCAAAAATGTTTTTAGAGTTATGCTATATGTCATTGTCTATATCATTAACAAAATACCTTCTTTTTCTAACCAATCTCCATATCAAATTATTCACAAAAAATCACTCAACATTCCATATTTAAAAGTATTTGGTTCTTAATGTTTTACTAGAACCTTATTCGCGCATAGAACAAAATTAGATGATAGATTTAGAAAGTGTGTCTATTTAGGTCACAAACGGAGTTAAGGGATATATATTGTTTGATCTAAAATCTTGAGAACATTTATACATATCCCTTTTTATGAGCATTTATTTCACAATTTAAACATGATGCCTTAAACATATTTGCTCCAATCACTTATCACATATAATGATTTCTTCAACCAATAAATAAAAATTGACTGGTCTTTGATCCAAAACTTCTTGCCCAACTTGAAAGATTACCATTTTACAGTGACAACTTCATGATGTGTCATCATCACCTCACATTGTTAGACATCTCATTTCTTAATTTCTCTCTTATGATTCTTCGTCTCCACCTCACAAACACAATTATTTGGTTATTTCTTTTGCTTTTAAACTTCAAACATATCAAAAAGCTATATTACATGATTGTTGGAGGAATGACATTAAAGAATAAATAAATGTTTTGGATAAAAAAATCAGACTTGGACACTTACCTTTATGAAGGAAAAAGACAATGAAGTGTAAATGGGTCTTTTAAGGTAAAACAACAAGCAGATGATAGTTTAGAAAGACATATCAATGACAAATGAGTATACTCAAACAACATGCATTGATTATTTGGATACTTTTAGTTTAGTTGTGAAGATGACAACAATTTGAGTCCTTCTATCTTTAGCCTTTACTCAGAATTGATTTTTACAATAACTTGATATGAATACAACTTTTATTATTGATTTTTAGCTGAAGAAGTCAATATAAAGTCACTTGTTAGTCTTTTTGTTTTTTTATCTAGACTTGATTTGCAAATTGACTAAACTATTATATGGATTAAAGTAAGCTAATAAGCAATAAAATTTAAAGCTTTTTGAAACCATCAATGCTTTTAGATATACTTAGTCCAAATCATATTACTTTCCTTTTACCAAAAGAACAACTCAAAGTTTCAAAGCAATCTTAACTTATATTAATGATCTAGTAGTTGCACATACTAGTTTTACAAAAATCAATAACATTAAACATTTCTTCCATTATAAATTTGACTTTAAAGACTTTAGAAATCTGAAATTTTTTCTTATATCAACTTTATCAGAGAAAATATGTATATTTTTTAATAGTTTGCTTACTTTATTTGATCAATTTTTTTTTATTTTAAAATATTTAAAGTTGAGAAAAATATAATTTACAAAAGTGAGTTTTGTTATTTTAAGAAAAGGGATATATACCCTATAAAGGTTGAAATTTTTCTGATATTAAGACCCTCAATCTTTGTATAAATGTATGTATGAATGATTCACTTTTGGGTCTGATTAACCATGAGTAAGCATAACAAATTAAAGTAATATTTTTTCTTGTACTCATTTTTAATTTTTTTTAACGTGTGGTTAAAATCATTAAATAAGAATGTTTGTATGATAAATTTTAATTAAAAATTGTATGATATCATAGAATTTAATGTATTAATAGTAATAAATACGATAACTTTTAATAAAAAATTATTTATTAATTTTATATTGTGTACAGACTGCCAAGGCTTATATTGAATTAATCAACTAATGTATCCAACAGGCTTCATTCATTGCACTTTGCGTAATGGGCTTTTTTTATCAATTGTTTTCAGGCCTACAATGGTAGATGGGCCAATCCTACCAATATTTTGGATTCCAACGGTTATTTTGTTAGGTTTTGGATTCAATGTGTTAGGGAACAGAGGACAACTAAAGGGGTTTTGCGATAATGAGATCACTACCAATAGGTAAATGTATAGGTTGTCTTGCATTCTATTGCTCTAAATAGGTATATACAGTTAAAATACGTTGGTTTATTTTGTTTGCATTTAACTGAGTCTATATTCAATAAGGCTCTATAAATCCGAAATTAAATAGGTAGGTTCACGGTTGATCTGCAATTTTTTAAAAAGTTTTTTGTCGTTAATTTTTTTATTTGTGTTTTTTTTCCTTCTTTAAAATAATAAAAAATGTTAAAAGTGATTTTTATCATTGTTAAGAAAAAATTATTTATTTTTACATTTTTTTACAGGTTAACGAGTTAGTAAAACATT